TTGCATCTCTAAATGACTAAACTTTAACTTTGTATGAACATGACCAGAACCAAGCAGAACACCTCTCCATCCGGGAATCAACTAGTAGCAGAACAGCAGCACCTTGTGACAGCTTTGGTCCGTTTTCGCTCCGCCATGTAATCATACTTATCTGCTTCTGTACATGACAAGTGAACACCAACAGTCTGTAAACAGAGGATCCCTGGAAATGCAATCAAATAAATTCGCTGGAAATATGAAACGAGAGTAAATTTATTACAGATCATATTTATTGTATTTTTTTAGTAGAATATATTTAGTTTAAGTTAAAGCACAATCGGATGAACGTGCACTATTTTAAAGATGGAAACAATTCCCTTTGTGTTTAATGCTTCTTATGCATGTTATGACAAAATTTCAATCCCATTGAACAATGTAGTTAATAAGATTCCGGTTTGGTTTAATGATGTTATATCAGCCTGTTTCATCAAACTCTGCTCCAAAGCCAAATGGTGACCTGAATTGAGGTTTTCCAATAATTACTCTAACGTACTAATACACCTAATGTTTGGTTACTTTACAGTGAGTGTGTCTTTGCCACAGAAGTACACACCTGTTTGCCTATCCCAGGATAAACCTTCTAACAACGTGAGGTCTCCGTTGTTCAGAGTCTCCTTTCCTTACAAACACACCGGTTTAACGGCCAAGAATTTGCTGCAGGCATTTTGTCAACTTTTCAAGCTCACTACAATCTTAAGTTTCGTGATCACGTCAGAAAACAACGCGATCCAGCTGCTGCTGCTGCATCTCTCCCGGACATCCCCAACTCCAAGACCTCGGAGATCATTCTTCTTTCCTTCCCGTAGAAGCAAAGCGCACAGACTCATCTTTATTCTGCTATGTGAAAAGCCAGGACAGATGTTCAGCATGTACAGCACATGCACTCCAGCCTGCGGGGGACAGTTCAGCTGTTAGTTATACTTCTGTATTTTTGAAGAGAACTACTTTCCCCCGATTCACAGATTGTGGAAGATGAAGGGAGCTGAGACTTCTCTGTCCGGTTGTACACTGGCGCTGTCGGATGTCCGCAGGGGGAATGTGGTTCATCTCTAGCCCAACTTCAGCAGCTGTGGGTTCACCTATTAGCCCCGATGTCTTTCCCAAAGAGCGCGGGAGTTAAACATCTGACACCGGGCGCACCGGGGGGTTACTCCACTGGCTTGTACTTAGTTTTGGTTTCATAAGAACTTCATTAAATCAATTAGCCTACCCAGTGAGCACATCACGAGTTCTGTATTATTATTAATAATTCAAATCTATTTTTCCGTCTTGTGTTTGGCCCATTCGAGCAACCTTAAGGCACGCTGGCGTCTTGCAGGTTCTGGCGCTTCGACAATTAAATATAATCAAAACCTGCATAGTTACTGTGCCTTGTGAAGAAAATGGGTTTATTCATGCTCTGACATTTAGACTGTGTCCTTTCTAAATATCTGTCTCAAACTGAGTGGCAGTAAGAATGACTGCCAGCTGTTACAACATTGTTCTTCCGTTTGAAATTTCAGTATGTTTTTTTTTCTGTAATTTATGATATTAAACTGAATTTAAAAAAAATCCCAGTAAGGTTTTTCAGGAGTCAAGACTTTACTTCAATATTTTCTTTTTCTCCAAAACCTGTGAACTCGTTATCCATCCTTGAAATTTGTTCTGAACGTAAAAACCGACGAAAAGAACGAAAACTAAAAGAACAGAAAACACCTAAAAGATTAAACATATTACAATAAAAGGAGCGCTGTTAGACAATAAAAATGTATGTATTTGATGTATTTTCTGTACCAACTTACAGTATAATTGTAACATAAATGTAAAAAGAAGCTTCTATTAGTCCTCACTGACAATAAGCACTTCTTTTCTTTGTCTCTCATTATGTGTTGACAATCTCTAACAAGACCAGTTAGTGGAACAGCAGAGAGACACAACAATAAAACTAAGTGAATAATTTAGGGACCTGGTTACTAAGCTGATTTTTCATATTGTCAGTGCATCACAGCTACTTTCCAGTCATGACCTGCTAATCAGGAGAGCATGATACATCACTCAGAAACTGACATAATATCTGGTGGCTCGGTAACATCTGTGGGGGTAGAGACTTGGTGCCGGTCCAAAGCCCCATCCCAGGACTGGGAGCCACTCCAAGCCAGTAGGTGAGGAGAGCAAGGTCGTCCATGGACAACCGCATGAGCCAGGCCCTGCTACCTGGCCCTTATAGAGCCCACCAGCTAGAAAGTAGAAAGTGAAGTGTAGATAAGCGTGAGCATGCTGCCCCAGTAGTCTCTTATTGAATGACAGGGCTTTTCTAAAAGCCTCTAAATGCAGGATGTAGGCTTCAGTGTACTTGGAAACTAGTAGTGAGCAAGTGGAGGCAACAGTGAAATATATACAGTATCAAAGAGAACCAGATGGACTTTTTAGTGGAGGATATTTAGTTTTGTGCCCAGGGAGGATACTGCTCACCTTAGACTGACCTAAAACAAACAGCCCTGGCATATATAGATCCTAAAAGAGTCTAAATCTGCTTCAGTCATTCTAAAATAAGTATTTTGGATTGTTCAAATCTGCTTTTAGATTCTTGTATATGGGCAGAGATTTATGAGCACCAAACATGATGCACTGCACGTGTGTCACAATAAATACACAGTCACAGTCTAATCCATTTGAATCCACCCCCACTCCTTTGCACCTTCTTTACCATAACTCTCTTCACTGTGGCCAGTGATTGGTATCAGTACCAGATTTGTGCAGAACTATCATGCCTGCAACATCAGAGGGCTGGACCAGAATGCATCTGGTTTTATTGCGGAAAAGGTCAGCATATAGAGTAGGGGAAATCATTCAGTCTCAGCTGGAGAAAGGAAGCAGCCGCGGTAAAGAGAGAGGAGAAAAGCAAGAGAGTTATGTCAGTGAGCGGGAACATGAACAGAGTGAACTCGAGAATGAGTCTTTTTAATAAAAACAAGAAAAGGAGCCCTGCACTAACAAGAGAAGGGCACTGCTACTGCTCTCCCTATGAACATCTGACTGTCTTCAACCACTGTGCGTTCCTCATGGGTAAACTGGTAAAGTTGGTTACCAATCATCTGCAGCTTCCAGTCTCCCTGCAGGAGCTCTAATCCAATCTGATAAGCCAGTGCAGTAGCAGTAAGGTATCCAGTGTGGCAGCACCGCTGCCTCCTCAGCCATGCAGAGCCGAGACCTCCCTCTGGCTTCATGGAGGTGCCTGTGTGGATTCCAAACATCATAAGCCTCACATCCATTTGCTTTAGCAGACTTGGGTTTGGCCATGACAGATACGACTCTGGATGGGCTAAAGAAAATGTGGTGTCTTGATGTTTCCAACTGACCAGGGATAAGCCAGAAAGGAAATGTGGCTGGATAGGCAATGAGATTGAGATATGGGGTTTCAATCTGACTGATGCCTTCAAAGAAATATGGTTTTGGTCTGCTGAGGACCCAGATGAGGCTTAAGACGTCAGTGATTGAAGAGCAAGATGACCTATGGTATTAACAGTGACCAGGAAACAGCTCTCCGTCCACTTTTCCATTCCCTAACCTGCTTTGTACTGCAAATGTGCATAATGTGTCTGGCTGTCCCACAGGACACTTAGGTCTGGACTGTCCCAATCACAAGACTAATTGTATAATTAGGCCTGCTCCATTGGAGATGGAGACCTTTTGGCCCTTCACAGACACTTGCGATAGTAAATGACAGTATATCTCACAAACCATCAGTCGATTCATCTTAATGACACCAAATCTTGAGATGGCAATATTTAACATAACTGATACTTCACCCAAAACCTGAAAACATGAGCTGTAACTTTCAAGAGATGCTGCATATGTATCACATTGTTTATATAAGCTAAACTGCTAACAGTTATTTTGTTTGTTACGTTGACATTTCATAGCAGACACTTGAATTACAGGCCTTTCCATGTGGACTGAGAGAAGACCTGACAGCAGATTAAGTATTCATCAGTTCAGTGGGAGGCTGCAGCGGTGCCTTTCCAGAACTGAATTGGTCCTGAGGAGAAATGCGAGGGCCCCTCCCCTGTACTGACATGGAGCGTTCTCATTTTCCTACCACAGCCCCTCCTTGGATTTTCAGCATCACCATGCACATCATTATCGTTGTCAGCGAGGTTAGGACACCGCTGCATCCGGGAGGGCCCCATAGGTGCCCTCATTACGCAGGCCCCTGTAGCACCGAGTGGCGTGTGCATGGAGAGGAGGAATGGCACTCCTTATGCTCAAAGTCTGCCTCTCCCACCCAGCTTCTGTCTGTCTGTCACAGCTCCTATAGGGAAGGCTTCCAATATGTAGAATAATAAGCATAATAACAAGCCGCTGGTTGCTGGAAAACCTAAAGGGCATTGGTAATGGCCTGTTATTGGAGCCAGTTAGGCACGCATCAATTTCACAGCACCTTTGAGATGTCATATCAACTAAGAGCAGTAAACTGAGTCATCACTTAACAAGATAAACACCAGAAGACTAATCCACCTGAGCCTTTTCTCTTCAATAGTAACAAAGTCTGCTAAAGAGACTCGACAGTTTCCTCATGTGTCGATCAATCTTTATAGGTCTCATCATATTTTATGA